TAAATCATAGTCCAACTTTAATTTTACAAGCTTACAAGCTTTCAGTCAATTACAAAAAACAATATACTTAAAATGTATTATTATTATTATTATTAATAATAATAACAATATTATATGGTAAATGTAATGTATCAATAATATACATCATTACGTAATATATCATTACATTGTCCATATTATTAATATATAAATCTTAGTCCAACTTTTACAAACTACAAGCTTACAAGCTTTCAGTCAATTACAAAAACAACAATATTCTAAAAATACATTATTGTTATTATTAGTTATATAAATATATGGTAAATGTAACATGTAATATGGTAAATATATATATATTAGACCAACTTTATGTCTACAAGCTTTCAGGTCAATTACCATAGAAAATAGCTTCAACTCACCCCTCAGTTTGTAAAAAAAAAAAAAGAAGAAGAAAAAAAAGGAATAAACTCAGAAATTTCAGAGTTTCAACAGCATTTAAAACCATTTTCACAGTGCTGCACACTTTTCAGCTGAACTTCCATTGTAAGTACATTACTGCAAACATGTTTCTTGTTCGTTTTTACAAACTTAAGGACAATTGGACAAACACTTTTTCCCGCAGTGTCGGAGCAGTGGAAGCATCCTGACATCTCGCCGGAAGCTTTCTGACACTCTCTTGGATGAGAAGCGACGCTGACAAGTGGGAGGTTCGTTGGGAAGAGCCTTCCCTCCGCCCGGGAGAATTCCCACGGCGCTCCCGTCCGCTACGCAGATGAATCGCACTGTCCGTTGTCATTTGAGCCAGCTCTGGAAAAAAATCTACACAAAAATCTCCCGCTCGCTTTGTCAAATGCAGTGGAAAAAATGAAGAACGAAAACAAGATATCCATAGGGGAAGCTTCCTACGGCCGCTCGGCTGACAGCTCTGACAAAATAACCAGCACCCTCATTATTTTATATGCAAACAATGATAAAACGAACTGTATGGAGATGTCATGTTAGACAATCAGCTCGGAGACCCTTGACATGCCGCCCGGCGACTGTAACAAAGTGTCCCGGCTTGCCACGGGCGACACCACGCTTAATTTGCTGCACAATGTGCCTGTAATTAGATGAATTTGGCTCAGGCAGAGGAAAAGACAGCCAGATCAAGGTCTTGATGAATTAGGGGTCCACTGTCAAGATCAAATCACATTAATCAAGGCGAGCGAGTGTTGAGACAGCTAGTCTCCCCCCAACGCGGCTCTATGCGTGATGAATAGGCTAGCTGCTAGCGGGCCGACCGAATGTATCACCATCAAAATCTGTGAATTTAAATGTAACAACGCTACTTCGAGAATTCTATCGATTTATTCTGCTCTTTTAAGATAAACCTTCCTTCGAGCCTCCAGACCCCATTTCAAAAAAGACGAGGAGGGAAAAAAAAGATCTGTGGTGTTGTATTTAAGCAAAAACAACAAAGTGTAACTTCAAAAACTAGCGCGGCCCAGTTTATGTTCTGTTTCTCCAAAACAGCCACCACCGATCCGCTGGAAATTCACGTGGGACGCGCGAAGCTCTGAAGGTCTGGAGGTTAACCTACATTATCGCCGCGGCTCGGCACACCTGCACCAGAGGATGCTGGGAAAACCGAAGACCTTTGGGCTGGACAGCTAATGAAGATCTTTGTTTGGAGAGCCACAACTAAACCTTTAGGAAGGAAAAATCTCTGGAATATCTCAACTGTTTCTCCTAGACATCAATGAAATCAAATGCTCAAGTCGCCTCATTCTCAAATCTTTCTAGAGATTCAGAAGAGATCTCAACAATGTACTTGACTTTTTCCATCAAAGTCTGCAATCAAATGTCAAAGATCTCAATATGAACTCAATTATTTCTGACCAAATTCTTAAAAGTGCTCAGCGTTTTCTACCAAAGTCTGGTTATGAGTCAGAAATCTCCACATGAACTCAATCATTTGAAACACAAAATTGACTAAATTGATGCTCACTGTGAACATAGTAAGAGATCTCAATATGAACTCAATTATTTCTAATTAAATTCTCAAATGTGCTCAGCATTTTCTACCAAAATCTGCAATCAAAAGTCAGAAATCTCAGTATAAACTCAATTATTCATAATTAAATTCTCAAATGTGCTCAGTGTTATCTACCAAAATATGCAAATATAAGAAATCTCAATATGAACTCAATAATTTCTAATTAAATTCTCAAATGTGCTCAGCGTTTTCTACCAAAATCTGCAAATGTAAGAAATCTTAATATGAACTCAATTATTTCTAATTAAATTCTCAAATGTGCTCAACATTTTCTACCAAAATCTGCAATCAAAAGTCAGAGATTTCAATATGAACTCAATTATTTCTCATCTTGTTTTCATCAAGATCAAATGATCTTAGCTGTTATCCATGTGCTTTATAATTTTATAGCTTCATACATGTAATTTATATCAAGGGTTGTCTTGTTTAAGAATTTGAGGAGAAACAAAAGAGACAAAGTTAAAGGGATAGTTCACCCAAAAATGAAAATGTGATGTTTATCTGCTTACCCCCAGGGCATCCAAGATGTAGGTGACTTTGTTTCTTCAGTAGAACACATTTGATATTAGCCGTCATACCTACAATGACTGTGCACTGTGTAAACAATGAGTGACGTATACGCGCGAGAGATCACTTCCGGCGCTTGCGTAAACTCGTAAACTACGCCAGAGCGCGTAGCCGCGTACACATCTCACGCACCGGAAGCCGTGCGCATGCTCAAAGCAGTTGGACATAGTGGTGTATTAGAGGTAAAAAACTATATAAATACTGTTCGGTTTCTGGCACAAACCGGTCGTTTCGTGTGTTATGACATCAATTTGTCGTCACAAGCTGCAGGGTTTAATTTGGATTTGTCTGTGCATGTTTTTTTTACACTCATAGACTTTGTTACCATTGCCATCCATTATACGACTGATAGACTGCAACGGTTGGACTTAAAAATCATCAAATGTGTTCTACTGAAGAAACAAAGTCACCTACATCTTGGATGCCCTGGGGGTAAGCAGATAAACATCACATTTTCATTTTTGGGTGAACTACCCCTTTAAGCTGAAAACTCAATTAAATGTCCCATTTTTCTCGTTTCTCCTTGTAATCTCACATGTGTCTCTTCTAGAGTTTCAGAAGAGATCCCAGCAATGTGCTCGGCTTTTTCCATCAAAGTCTTCAATCAAAAGTTAGAGATCTCAAAATGAACTCAATCATTTTTCATCAAATACTCAGAAGAACAAATGATCTAAACGGCTATGTACATGCTAATTTCATAGGTTTTTATATATAATTTGTCAATTAGGTCTCAATGGAGTGTCCTTAAAAATCATCAAATGTGTTCTACTGAAGAAACAAAGTCACCTACATCTTGGATGCCCTGGGGGTAAGCAGATAAACATCACATTTTCATTTTTGGGTGAACTACCCCTTTAAGCTGAAAACTCAATTAAATGTCCCATTTTTCTCGTTTCTCCTTGTAATCTCACATGTGTCTCTTCTAGAGTTTCAGAAGAGATCCCAGCAATGTGCTCGGCTTTTTCCATCAAAGTCTTCAATCAAAAGTTAGAGATCTCTCAAAATGAACTCAATCATTTTTCATCAAATACTCAGAAGAACAAAATGATCTAAACGGCTATGTACATGCTAATTTCATAGGTTTTTATATATAATTTGTCAATTAGGTCTCAATGGAGTGTCTTGATTCTCACGTTTCTACCCACTAATCTCACATGTGCCTCTTCTAGAGTTTCAGAAGAGATCTTAACAATGTGCTCAGATTTTTCAAGACACCAAAGTCTGCATTCAAATCCAGAGATCTCAACATGAACTCAATCATTTCTCATTAAATTCTCCAATATGCTCAGCATTTTCTACCAAAGTTTGTTTAAAAGTCAAAGATCTCAAAATGAGCTCAAACATTTCTCATCCAATTCTCCCAAGATCAAATGATCTAAACATCTATCAAATAGCTAATTTTATAGGATTGAGCATATAATTTCAATCAATGGTTCTCTTTAAGGAATTTGTGGAGAAACAACTGAGACAAAATTTAAACATTAGCAAAACAAAACTATACACAATGAAGTGCCCTGATTCTCACATTTCTCCATTGTCATCTCACGTCTCCACTAGTTTCAGAAGACTAGTTTCAATATCAACTCGATAATTTCTCATGAAATTCTCAAATGAGCACAGCATTTTGTACTAAAGTCTATTTATAAGTCAGTGATCTCAACATGAGCTCAAACATTTCTCATCAAATTCTCCCAAGGTTCTATCAACACGCTAATTGTGCATATGATTTATATCAATGGTTTTCTCATTGAGGAGAAACATCTGAGACAAAATTGATACTTAAAGCTAAAAAATTAAACAGTGTCCTGAGATAAGAAAGCGCAAGCTGTGATCAATAAAACTGCATAATCATTGAATACTACTTTCCTCTAAGGTAACTTTCTGAAGTACACACCAAACACGAAAACATGAGAGTCCCACACAAAAACTTAGGAACTAAGTTGCACTGGAAAGAGTATCTGCTCAATGCCTTAAAGGTAATTCAAAGAATTAAACCAGACGAAGATGAGAGAAGAAAAGTTTATATTCTCCTCTCCAGATGTTTGATCCAATGAACTGCACTAATCTCTTTCCTGGATTTGATATTTACCCGGCCTTGAGTTTTGCATCTGGCACAGAAACAAAGCAAGAGTTTTTATTCTTTCTAAATGGTTAAACCAAGAACCGAATGACGTAGCTCAGTTATCGTTTTAAATCTGGACGTCCATTTCAGTCATATGCTTTTTATGAAGCATCAAAAGCATGCGCCGGTCATTTCAGGATCACCTGATTACACCGCATTTGAATGTTGCATGTCTGCGTGCATTCTGACCACAGGGATAAACAAAGCAGACACTTTATTTGCAAGCGCAGAGATTATTTATATTCACAAACGCTGAGAACCAGAGTCAGAAACGGACAGTTGCTGCAGGCTCACCCGTGCAGAGCGTGGAACGCATGGGGCTCGTAGTGGTATCTCCCCTCGTGGTGACGCACATCGATGGGGATCGGAGAATGGAAAGTCGGGAAGATGTGATGAGGGCCTGAGAGAGAAACAGAGAGAGAGAGTTGAGAAAAAGCCAAGACTTTCAAAAAAGAAATTTCAAAGGCAACAGCGCTACAATAAAGTAACATGAATTTCAGAGCGCACTGAGCAGTTTCGTGTAAAATATTGGCACTATCACACAAGAGTGGAGGAATAAATAAATAATCAAAGTATCCTAAGAAATCCTACATCCCCAACATAAAAGATATCCAACTGGGCTTTTGACAAAGACCTGCAGCTAGACGCTCTTTGAACTCATACAGATGATGGACGTTGTGAAGGAAAAAACCATCCGGGACACAAACTGGGGCTGACAGCGCAGGGAGAGAATATTCCTCATGCTGGGCCGTGCCAACCGGAGCATCTCCCTACTGAAGCAACACTGATCCGACCGCGTCCCCGACACTTTCCTGGCCCCGAAACGAGTCCAAAACGAAGGTGCCAGGGCGACGTGAAATCAGAGGAGGTCAGGCCTTTGAAATCAAACCTCTAACTAATGAGAGAGAGTTTTTTTTTACTAAAAGCTGTTGCCCATTGCCTCAGCGTTTTACAGTCTGCCGTATATGTTGGCTGGCGTTCCTTTTCATCATAACTCCTTTGGCTGGATCATTTTATTTGAGCCCAAAGAGAATCAGAATCAGCACTTTGCTGTAATAAAGCCTCTGTTGGCCTGGGATGTCCCGTTAAAGGCTAACAGAGCTTCATTAGCAGTTATGATAACGGGAAACCACATTTGACGGTTTCTTTGCCATATGCAAAGAGCTGTTTGCAGTGGTAAAGTCTTAACTAGCTTTCCCTTCTAATTAGTCTTTCGCGCCTGGAGCTCCTTCTATCTTTTCATGCCCTGCGAAAATAAATGGATAAAAAAGAAACGGGTCGAAATCAAAGCAGATTTAAAAGCTTTCCTGTTCTCTAGGCTTTCACATTTTCGATTAAAAAGAACGAAACGAAAAAAAAGAGCTCTGTTGCTAACAGAGCTGGGTAGTAACTGATTACATGTAATTTGGATTACGTATGCTCATAATCAGATTACTGTTACTTTTTATGGATTACATAATTAGCACAAAGTAAATCATTCATAATTGACTGATTATCGCTTATTCTTCTTTTTTCAATTTTCTTTTCTAAAACTCCTACTGTGTGTCATACCATTCGACTACATTCACAACACAGAATTGTCACGTAAACAAATTTGCAAACCATGCTTCTGAATTTGGGTGAAAAAAACACCTCTTGAGCAATCAAACCATGCACGAAACAAATAATTATGCAAGTTACTAAACACTGCTGATGTATGGTTTAATGCATTAAATGATGTTCATAGCAAAAAATGTAATATATTTGCTTTTTTATATCAATATGGTACGATTAATGGTAAGTTTAAAACAAGTTACACAAAAAAAAGGTAATCTAAAAGTAATCTAAAAAGTAGTCGGATTACGTTACCTAAAAATGTTACTAACATCATAATCAGATTACTGTTACTTTTTATGGATTACATAATTAGCACAAAGTAAATCATTCATAATTGACTGATTATCGCTTATTCTTCTTTTTTCAATTTTCTTTTCTAAAACTCCTACTGTGTGTCATACCATTCGACTACATTCACAACACAGAATTGTCACGTAAACAAATTTGCAAACCATGCTTCTGAATTTGGGTGAAAAAAACACCTCTTGAGCAATCAAACCATGCACGAAACAAATAATTATGCAAGTTACTAAACACTGCTGATGTATGGTTTAATGCATTAAATGATGTTCATAGCAAAAAATTGAATATATTTGCTTTTTTATATCAATATGGTACGATTAATGGTAAGTTTAAAACAAGTTACACAAAAAAAGGTAATCTAAAAGTAATCTAAAAAGTAGTCGGATTACGTTACCTAAAAATGTTACTAACTACAGTTTTCATCATGTCATCTGTAATCAGTTATGGACTACAATTTGTAAGTAATCTACCCAGCTCTGGTTACTAATGTGTTCTGACCAGTGTTTCTATGAGCAAACTAACACTAGTACTTGTAATGCTTGACTTAGCAGGAATGAGAGCAGGGTAAGTGAATCAGCTGATCTCTGGACTGTATTAACATTCTTTAGGGCGGCAGCAGTGGGAGGGTGAGGGGTGACCCGGGAAGGTCAGGGGTCACGGGTCATTATCCACACCTGGGGTTCTCAGCAGCTCCTCCAGAGATTCACACACTCAACAGAAGCAGTGTGAGTCAGCAGTCTCTCACACTCTCGCTCGCTCTGCTTCTCTGTCAATTTGTTCATACCCTTCAGAATGGCAGACAAGAGCATCCCAAAGGACAGGAAATGACCCGCTGCTTTTCCCGTCTCTCTCTTTCACTTCACATTTACATAATGTAAAACTTAAAGGGATAGCGCACCGAAAATACAAAACTGAAGTCATTTATTCACCTTGATGTTGAAACAAACCTTCAACAGAACACAAATGGAGACGTTTTGCAGAATGTTGTCGAAGGGAGGATTTTTCAGTCAAAAATGTCAAAATCCTCATTAAAAACTTTTTTTTTTCAATTTTTATGATACTTTTATTATGTTTTTAATCCGTTTTGGAGCTTAAAGGGATAGTTCAACTCAAAATGAACATTTTGTCATCATTTACTCACCCTTAAGTTGTTCCAAACCTGTATGAATTTCTTTCATAAAAGATAAAAGATATTTTGAGGAATGTTGGTAACAAGACAGTTGATGGTAGCCATAGGGGAAAAAATACTATGGAAGTCAATGGCTACCAGCAACTGTTTGGAAACCAGCAACATTCCTCAAAATATCTTCTTTTGTGTTCAACACTCTTGGGCTGTTCTCACACTTTTCAGTCAATAATGACAAAATCCTCATACATTTTTTTTTCTTCCCACTTTTATGTTGTTTTGAATCAGTTATAGAGCCTAACAGCCTGAGCATTCGGCTAAATGTCTCATTTTGTGATCTACAGAAGAAAACAACAACACGAAGACGTTTTCATTTTCAGGTGATCTACCGCTTTAAGTCGCCCTCAAGATTAGTTTGTTTGATTAAACTCAAGCCTGTTTTGTTCTGTTTATCTTAAAGTTTGTCTGCAGAATCACAAATTTACCAAAGGAGACACTGAAACGCTGAGATCTAAGCGCTTGTGCTTAAATTCAGTAAATCAGACGTGATTCTAAGCGATCTTTACTTGTACAGTCTGCGTAGTCTGCATGTTTTTAGCACAATCAAATCAGCTGCGTGACTAGCCAGAGTCATGTGCTCCCTTTATAGTATTTGTCATGGAAAATGCCTCAGGTTGCCTTTAATTGATGAAAACACCATAAAAACACACCTGACATGCCACACAGCTGTCGAAAGCACAACAGCAGTCTAAAACATGCAACTGGAGCACAAAACTCCGGCCCGACCTTTACACTCTTAAAAAAGAAAGGTTCCTTATTGGCATCAATGATTCCACAAAGAACCTTTACCATCTATGGAACCTTTACATTCCACAAAAGGTTCCCTAGTGAAAGATAAATATATCTGAAATACATTTATTTCATGCTAAGTATGCTACAAATACATTTTTATATTTATGTTCTTAATAAAATGTCCTGCAATTGTACTTTTAGTATAATAAACTCAACTGGAATACTTAAAGTCTGCTCAACTAATTTTGTACTTAATGCAGAAGTAGTGCTAAAGTACAATTAAAGATATACTATTGCAACTATACTTCAGGTACACTTTAAATATTTTGCATTTAAAGTCCGATATTATTCAAAGATCATACAATCCTCATGAAAAGTGACATTAAAACACATTTTAGACTTGATATTAAGAAAAGTGCATAGTGCACAAGTAGTATGCCAAGTAAAGTTTAATTATAATTTTTATATCAGCAAGTCTCGAGTTATCTGCCAGTAAATATGTTAATAGATTTGAACTATACTATACTAAATATATTACTTTACAGTGGAAAAAGGTTCTTTAGATTATTAAAATGTACTTCACACTAAGAAAAAATGGTTCTTTTAAGAACTAAAGGGGAACTAAAACGGGTTCTTCTGTCATCGCTGTGAAAACCCCCTTTTGGAACCTTTATTTTTAAGAATGTAGATAGCAGAGGAATGGCTCTAGTAAAAAACTAATATATTTAAAATGCATTTATTTCATACTAAGTATGGTTCAAATCTATTAACATATTTACTGACAGATAACTCGACACTTACTTAAACTTTACTTGGCATATTACTTGTCCACAATGAACTTTTCTTAATATTAAGTCTAAAATGTGTTTTAATGCCACTTTTGATGAGGATTGTATGATCTTTGAATAATATCAAGACTTGCAAGGCAAAATATTTAAAGTGTACCTGAAGTATACTTGCAATAGTTCCACTTTAGCACAATCAAATATACTAAGTATATCTTTAATTGTACTTCAGCACTAGATCCGCACAATTAAAGTGTAAAATTAATTGTTCCAATTTAGCAGACTTTATGTTTACCAGTTTAGTACACCAAAAGTACAATTGCAGGACATTTTATTAAGTACATAAATATGTGGCAGAGTCTTAACTTTGATAAAGAATATCTCTTTGGTTTTGAGACTTTAGTCTTTGCAACTTCAGGGATCTTATCTATGCACAATCAGCTTGTAACACTCCAAAGAGAAAGGAAAACTTGAAATCGCATCATATGACCCCTTTAAAAGAACATTGTAATAATCTAAAGAACAATTTTCCACTTCTGTGGAAGGGAAAGGTTCCATGGATGTTAAAGGTTCTTCAGAGTTCTTAAAAGTATATGAATCGCAGGAGGCTCTCGATCAGATAAACATGGGCCCTCTTAACTCTAAACAGCTCTTTCTGATGTCATTGGGCTTTGAATATTCGTGCCAAACAAGCACAACCCCTCTCGTCTTTGTTGTACCCTAATCCAAGGATCTAAAGGGGTAAATGGTTTCATTTTACAGGAAGTACTCCGCAACAATAATGGCCCTTTGAGTGGC